TACTCGTAGTAGCAGTAGTAGTAGTAGTAGTAGTAGTAGTCGTGGTAGTAGTAGTAGTGGTAGTGGTAGTAGTAGTAGTAGTAGTAGTAGTAGTGGTAGTAGTAGTAGTAGTGGTAGTAGTAGTAGTAGTAGTAGGAGTAGTAGTAGTGGCAGTGGTAGTGGTAGTGGCAGTGGTAGTGGTAGTGGTAGTGGTCGTGGTCGTGGTCGTGGTCGTAGTGGTAGCAGTAGTGGCAGTGCTAGTCGTCGCAGTAGCGGCAGTAGGAGGAGCAGGCGTAGTACTAGTCGTCGTCACTGTCCTAGTATGTGTCGTTGTTGACAGGATGAGAGCCACAGCAATGGCAATGATGCCGGACATCGTGCGTACCAATCGCAAAGAAATGTTAGTCTCTCTGGCCAGCCTGATGAAATTGACGGTTCAGGGTGTTATGTTAGGGTAACCACAGCAGTGGGAGCTGCATGTACGGTCAAGGATGGGGGCCAGGCAGTTCAACTGGAGCATTCGGAGATTTACATTTTGGCTCGTCCGGCCAAGCCGGATCCAGCTGGACCAATTAGTAAACGCTGCCGGTTTCTGAAAAAACTTGGAAACACTCAAACCTTTCCCCTCGCTTCCACAGTCTGCCTAAACCCTAAACCTCTAAACCCTAAACCCCTAAACCCCTCAATCCTAAACTCTGCCTTTCGAACTGGAGCTCGTGGAAGAGCGGGCGCGAGAGCAAGTCCAGCAGCGGCACACGGGCGTGAAAGGACCTGGCCTGCTGCTTCAAGGCATACTGATGCTGCAAGAATTGCGTGACCTGCGCTGCAGGGATTTAGGGTTTTGGGGTTTAGGGTTTAGGGCTTTAGGGGGGAGGGTTTTAGGGTTTAGGGCTTAGGGTTTTAGGGTTTAGGGCTTAGGGCCAGAGGGTTAGGTTTTCAGCCTCGTAGAATCACCTGCTGGTATAGGGGCTAACACTACTACCCCAATTGACGCGGTGGTGGATCCAGCAACAACGGTGAAGGAAGAGACGTCAGCAAGATCTAAAGACATCTCGCGCCTACATCGACACACTATCAACGGCAGAACCCCAGCCATCGACTTATGGAGACCCCAAGCTTCCCTAAACACCCCTACACCCCTAAACCCCTAAACCCCTAAATCCCTAAACATCCCCCGAAACCGCAACCTTCTGGCCCACGTCACTGCGGATCTCGTTGTGCTTCAGGTAGCGCCGCAGAAGCCGAAACTCGGTGGTCTCGTCCTGCTCGATCTTCCGCAGGCCAGCGATTAGGCTGCTCATGGTGCTGATGAGCGTGGCCGAAGTGATAAGGGACCTGACAAAGCCGAACATCTCAGGGCTGCCTAGGGGTGCTAGGGGTGCTGAAGGGTCCATGTCAGGCAAACCCTAAGCCCTAAACCCTAAACCCTAAACCCCAAACCGCGCGCCTGAAGGTAATGCAGACGTTCAGGAGCATCTCCACCTCGTTCGTCGGCTGCAAGGGGCTCTCGCCCACTCCCAGCTGACCTTAGGGGCCGAGTACCCTAGCCCAAAAAAGGTTAACCTTTCAATTATGCTAGGATTATATAAGCCCAAAAAGGTTAAAGGTTACCTACTCAGCTACTAAGTGGCAGAAGGACCAGAGGATACAGGCCAGGTACTGGTGCTGGGCGTTCTTGTCCTGCAGGAGGCGAGGTAGATCTCCCAAAAAAAAGGAGGGGGTCGTGAGAATTAGAAGAGGGTTCTGGGATGAAGTATAAAGGGTTTAGGGTGTAGGGCGACGGTAAGGTTCCCTAGCCTGTGCTTAGTCTTAGTGAGTATCCCCAACCTGACCCATCATGGCTGCTGAATGTTGCTGGCACCTGTGCCAATGGTGTTGCTCTTTGGAGACAAACGACCCGCAATGACGAAGACAGTGATGATAATGATGAAGATATTACTGAGTATCAATGTAGTCTCGACGACTGTAAGCTGCTCCGGCCGCTGCTGCTTCTGCTCCTACTTCTGAAGCTTCGCGCAGCTGGCATTGTTCTGCCAGCACAGGGGGATGCTGCGGTACTGGCTAAGGGAGCTCAAAAGTGGAGACCAGTCTATTGGCGAAAGGCTTGCCCACCATCAAACAATAGAAACCCGGCTTGGGGAGATGGGCTTAGGACGCCAGCTGACGACTGGCTGAAGACAGGGCCTTGCTGCTGAGGTTTGGCTTGCGAAGCAGATAGCACGTTTTCAGCACGCCCTAAGCCCGATACTTCTTTGCGGGAATTGCTACCTGCGTGCCGAGAGGGAATTCAAGCTGTGATGGTTTTACACTGCAAACAGCACGCATAAGTTCTTACAAACTAATGTTCTGCATTACTTCCCGCTGAGCATGCTGCTGCAACTGAGGTTCTCCACTTTACCGGAAACGCGTGCACAAAACACAAACACGCCGGCAAGCACCATCACACCATATGATGCTCGTTCACATCTAGGTAGCGATCCTGGTCTGCTGTACAAACTTCTAAGCAAATTCAGCAAACTCGATGCTGCAAGAAGTCGTCTTGGAAAGCACGGCCGACACACAAAGTAGCCTGTTCTGCGTGTATGTAAGGCGGGCATCCTTCTTCAGTGATTCTCAGCTTCGAACAGCATGCATGGCCTGCGACTTTTAGCCAAACTAGCTAGCCTAAGCTCGAAGAATGGAAAGTGTCGTCCTGCAGTCCACTGGCCACGACCCAGTTGTCTGTGTTCAACCAGCTGACCCCGAACCATGCACAGGCCATCCAATGGTTCAGGACCAGCAGCTGTCCTCCATGGGGTCAGCATTGATTGCAAGACTGACGACCGGAGTTCTTGTGAAAATCTCTTCCTCCTCCTACTGCTACTACCACCACCACTACCACTACCACTACCACTACCACCACCACCACCACCACCACTACCACCACTACCACCACTACCACCACTACCACCACACCACTACTACCACTACTACCACCACTACCACCACTACGACTACCACTACGACTACGACTACCAC